ATGTTAGTCCTCTCTAATCGCATTGTAATCAATCATTAAAATCATTAGGGGCCTAGATGCACTTTCAATCTCCCCCTTTTGGTGATTGATGACAATACGATTAGATCAAAAGAGAGAATGGATTTAATAGATGATTTTGGTGCAAAGTTTTAGTGAAAGCTCCCCCTAGAAGTGTGCATTAAGGCAAGTGGAGAGCTCCCCCTAAATCTTTGCATCCACATTGAAGCTCACAAGACAACTAGACTCACATTTTGCTCATCACATCACATGCATAATAATCATTTCATCTCATCACAACCACAATATAGAATAAATGAGACATGACATCACATTAAACAAGACACAATAATATCCATTACATCCCATCATCCATAATTAAACAATAATGTCTTACAAAGCATTAAACTAACTTAAGAAACACGCATGTCTCATACAAATAAAAAGCCACTAATGTTCGACCAACATAAAGGATAGAGATGATAGATAGTCTCCCCCTTTGGCATCAAGACACCAAAAAGAGAGGACGAGGAGACAAAGACTCAAGCAAGGGGCGCCCGAGGAGGATCCTCTGGAGGAGGTGGAGGAGGATAGCCATAGCCATGGCCATAACCAAAGAAATCAAAGTCAGGAGGCACCCCAGCAAATGGATCCTCTAGCTCTTCCTCCTCGGGCTCATCGGGCTCGGCCTCGAAACCCGGAGGGAAAGGAGGGATATCAATATGGTGGTCCTCATGATACCGCGCCTTGAGGTACTTGACGTCATGAGCCGTTTTCTTCGCCGGATTCCGCAATCGGCGGTTCTTTTTAGCCTCCGCGGAGCAAAGGCCAAAAAGAGTCCGCAAAATGCGGAATAAGGGAGACGGCTCACGACGAGCCACAGAGGAAGGACGCTCAGGAGCAGAAGGCGGCTGAGAGGATGTGGAGGGGATGTCCCGAGGCACAGACCCGCGCTTGGGCAAGCGCAAGGAAAGAGCGGTATGTGGCTCCTCGCACACAAACCGAAGGTGAGTGACATGTTCAATCATCCGCATTATATGAGGAGCATAGGGAAGCCCTCGCTTATACTGAAGAGAAGCCATGCGGATTTCCTGCCAAACAAATAAAAAGACATGAAAGGGACGGCTGGGGGGATTGAACCTAAGGAGCATGGAGAGGGAGAAGTGGTTGATGTTTTTAGCATCGCCGTCCTTTGGAGTCAAGGTCCGCCTGAGGATGCGGTTGAGATAGATATGATAAGGCTTGAGCCCTTCAGTAGTCCCCAACTTGCCGCCAGGAAGATACAGAGGGCGCAAGTCATGATTGTGAGGAATCACAATGTCATGCAAGTGGGTCATGTACCGCATCCAGTTCTCATCAAAACCCCACAGATTGGCAAGCTGGTCATAAGAGATAGAATACCACGAGCCCTGAGTCATCCAATGAATGTCACGATCACCATTAAAATAGACTGTGGCATAGAATTGAGCAATGATCTCTTTGCAGCAAGCCTACTGAAGGGTCATGAAATTTCGAACCCCCATCTCCTCACAAGCGCCAATGACGGCATTGAGGTCAGGATCATCGAGGGTCGCCAAAGCCTCCCAATCAATCCATTGCATGGGCACTGTAGGATTGGAACGAGGCAAAATGACAGTTTCATAAAAGTCTTGCTGAAAAGAGGTCCAAAACCTGCCATCAGAGGCGGAGCACGGCATGGAACGAGGATCCTGATTCCGCTCCACAGCCACAATGTCAGACTTTTGGCGCCAGTCACGTACAGCTCGGCGAGGATTGCGCGAGGGAGCATGAAGCATGAGAGGGCCGATGAGCCCCGCCGGAGGAGGTGCAGTGGTGTGAGCTTAGCGAGGAGAGCCCTCGCCAGAGAAAGCACAAAGCTGCCTCGAGGACCCTTGATCCCCATGAGTTGAGCGCCGAGGTGGGAGAGAGGAGCCCCGGGGAACATTGGCCACCTGAGGGCCGGTCTCCTCTTCTCCTCCCCCGGACCAATCACGGTCCGAGTCCTCATGATAGGATGGGGAAGGAGTGGGAGACCGATCCCTAGAGCGCTTGGACTTGCGAGAAGTTTTCTTGCGAGGAGGCATCCTTCAATCAAGACAAGAATAACAATGAGTATAAGAATAACAAGGAGTGGGAGACCGATCCCTAGAGCGCTTGGACTTGATTGAAGGATGCCTCCTCGCAAGCAAACTTCTCGCAAGTTCAAGCGCTCTAGGGATCGGTCTCCCACTCCTTCCCCATCCTCTCATGAGGACTCGGACCGTGATTGGTCTGGGGGAGGAGAAGAGGAGACCGGCCCTCAGGTAGCCAATGTTCCCCGGGGCTCCTCTATCCCTCCTCGGGGCTCCACTCATGGGGATCAAGGGTCTTCGCAGCAGCCTCTTGCTTCCTCTGGCGAGGGCTCTTCTCGCCAAGCTCACACCACTGCGCCTCCTCCGGCGGGGCTCATCGGCCCCCTCATGCTTCATGCTCCCTCGCGCAATCCTCACCGACCTGTTCGTGACTGGCACCAAAAGTCTGACATTGTGGCTGTGGAGCGGAATCAGGATCCTCGTTGCATGCCGCGCATTGCCTCTGATGACAGGTACTGGACCTCTTTTCAGCAAGACTTTTATGAAACTGTCATTTTGCCTCCTTCCAATCCTACACTGCCCATGCAATGGATAGATTGGGAGGCTTTGGCGACCCTGGATGATCCTGACCTCAATGCCGTCATTGGCGCTTGTGAGGAGATGGGGGTTCGCAATTTCACGACCCTTCAGCAGGCTTGGTGCAAGGAGATCATTGCTCAATTCTATGCCATAGTCTATTTTAATGGTGATCGTGACATTCATTGGATGACTCAGGGCTCGTGGTATTCTATCTCTTATGACCAGCTTGCCAATCTGTGGGGTTTTGATGAGAACTGGATGCGGTACATGACCCACTTGCATGACATTGTGATTCCTCACAATCATGACTTGCACCCTCTGTATCTTCCTGGCGGCAAGTTGGGGACTACTGAAGGGCTCAAGCCTTATCATATCTATCTCAACCACATCCTCAGGCGGACCATGACTCCAAAGGATGGTGATGCTAGCAACATCAACCATTTCTCCCGCTCTATGCTCCTCAGGTTCAATCCCCCCTGCCGTCCCTTTCATGTCTTTCTATTTGTTTGGCAGGAAATCCGCATGGCTTCTCTTCAGTTTAAGAGAAGGCTTCCCTATGCTCCTCATATAATTCGGATGATTGAACATGTCACTCACCTTCAGTTTGTGTGCGAGGAACCACATACCGCTCTTTCCTTGCGCTTGCCCAAGCACAGGTCTGTGCCTCGGGACATCCCCTCCACATCCTCTCAGCCGCCTTCTGCTTCTGAGCGTCCTTCCTCTATGGCTCGTCATGAGCCGTCTCCCTTATTCCGCATTTTGCGGACTATTTTTAGTCTTTGCTCCGCGGAGGCTAAAAAGAACCGCCGATTACGGAATTTGGTGAAGAAAACGGCTAGTGACGTCAAGTACCTCAAGGCGCGGTATCATGAGGACCACCACATTGATATCCCTCCTTCCCCTCCGGGTTTCGAGGCCGAGCCCGATGAGCCCGAGGAGGAAGAGCTAGAGGATCCATTTGCTGGGGTGCTTCCTGACTTTGATTTCTTTTGTTATGGCCATGGCTATGGCTATCCCCCACAACCTCCTCCAGAGGATCCTCCTCAGGCGCCCCTTGCTTGAGTCTTTGTCTCTTCGTCCTCTCTTTTTGGTGTCTTGATGCCAAAGGGGGAGACTATCTATCATCTCTATCCCTTATGTTGGTCGAACATTAGTGACTTTTTATTTGTATGAGACATGTGTGTTTCTTAAGTTAGTTTAATGCTTTGTAAGACATTATTGTTTAATTATGGATGATGGGATGTAATGGATATTTGTGACGCCCCACACTTTTAACAATGAAGATAAAAGTGCCAGACTGTAGATTATTATTTAACAACCATTATTTTGCCAAATAATAATCCACCATCAGAGATCGCAACAGAGGAATAGTTAGAGCTACCTTTAATTCGTCCCTAGGAGTATTAAGGCCATCTCTAATCCAGCTCACTCTTGCAAGGGATCAAACCTGTACAAAGGGGTTATATAGCAAGGGTGAGCACTTTCGTACTCAGCAAGTCATTAGTAATAAAATGTATATGCATGAATAATAATATATAAATCTATATACTATAATACTATACCTTACGTAACATCATCACCTTCATTGTCATCAAAAGTAAAGTATATTTCTATTTTCTAAAAGAGTTTTCAAAAGGAGATTTATAAAAGCTAGAGTACACTCGTAACATTGAATAGAGTTTGTAACAACTCCCCGTAGCCTCCAATCCAGGAGACAGGCGTGAATCACGATTTAATTTAGCACTGCGCAGGCTTGTATCACTGTACCCATAGCTAGTCTTAACACGTTTGACTGTCGCACTTCACTAGATGCGGCACCACGCTAAGAGTACAAAACTTTTTCCCTACTTCAATTTACTATACTCCACGTTTGTGTTGAGCCTATCAGCTCTCCACACCACCGCGCTACTATATGAGGCCTGGAATGCACTTCATCGGCATTCCTGGGGTTTATATCATCTCCCATCCTACTACTACGTACCCATGTGGAGTATAATAAACTTGATAAGGTACTAGGTCCAGCCCGTCTTAAGACGGATATATGGTCGACACGGTATATACGGTTCTTTGATACGAGTGAGGGGATGATTAGTCCTTATATTTATACACCGTATGTAGGGAGAGCCCTGTCCTGCCCTCATCATCAATCATCTCATCCCTGAGCTCCCCATACCCACCATACTAGTATCCCAATGATCTCCATCATCATCAGTTTGTCAATCATATCATCATAGTTAATCTCATTATTCTAGAAAATATATTTGGATGCAATACTAGGAGAAATATTTTTATGAAATAGATTTTTAAGTTGAAATAGAATTATCATCTATCAACATGATCAAAGGAGAGACTTGCCTGAGTTTCTGTAGTTGAATCGAAATTATGTAGCACTGCCGATTGACCCAATTATCATTCTACTCATTCCTGCATTATATTATATATATACGTTGAGGTTTTGATAAATTTAAATACTAGGGATACAAATGATCTACCAATAAAATGTGCTCTGTAGAGTTTATTTTAATGTGCAAACTTTCTTCCAGATAATGTGTAGTAATAGGTAATGCGTAGGTTCAATTTAATATCTTGTGTAGCCTAGTAGTGTACATCCAGCAATTAATCCCCTTTCCTTCTCTAATCTCTCCTTCCTCGAACAGATAAGGCAGCAGCAGCAGTAATTCCTCTTCTTCTTCTTCCTTGCTGCTGTTCCTAAGGCACTTCTCCCTTTCCCAGCTAAATCATCCAAGCCATGGCTACCGATCTACCATTGCTAGTGTGGATCAGCTCTGCTGCGGCTACTGCTGTGGCGGTGGTGGTTGCTGCAGCTACGGCTGCGGCTGTGGGTGCTCTCTCTCTCTCCCTCCCTCTCTCTCTCCCCTTCTCTCATCTCTCTGGCTGTAGCACTTGTGCAGTGATGGGTGCAATTTAGTGATGGCTCTAATGGTGATTTGCAGGTGTAGGGGGAACAGATGCTTGGTTGCTAGGTGCTAAAAAAAAAGGAAAGCCAAGTATTGAGGGATTCACCTTTGCCTAGGTGACAAGTTCGTCCATGGCTGTGCTCCCGTGTTCATCCTCGCCGATGCATTGGCCTTTCCTCTTCCTTGGGTAAATCACATTCCCTCCTTGCTGATTTCTCTTCTCCTCTTCCTAGCCGACATAGTGATGGTATGAGTATTTGGCCAAGAACTATTTGGCTACTAATTATAGGGGATTCAAGATTTGGTGCTTGCAATGGATGGGGCGCAATCTTGCATTTCACTGATTTGTTTGCTCCTCACTCCCTACTTCTCTCCTCCTCCTCTCCTGGGCTGCTCACTCCTCACTAATTGGTTGGAGCTCATATGCATGCATCTGCTGCCATGGCTGTGGTCATGCTTTGAGTGCTTGACCAAGGTGAGATAGAGTCTTGACCAAAGTGGATGGAGTTGTGCTACTATCTTTGTGGTCTTGTGTGAAGCTTCCTATGTGGAGCTATGTGATTGGTGGATAATTAATACTGCTGGTGAATTGAGGTCCCTTTGGTGAGATTAATTCTTTATATGAGATGTGCGGCTTCTTTGTGTTAATTAGCCGGATGACGAACCCGACTTAAGTGAGGGGTGCCAGACGGTATTAGCTGATCTAGGTGATCTAGGTATCTCAGTGAACGGTTGAATATACACCACTTTGTGTATGGGTCTGACGGCAACATTTATTTACATATTACCTTTTGTGCATAAAAGGGGTCAAGCTATGTATGTCCTGTGCAACCGTATATTCAAATATATGATGTATTGTATTATTAGTGTAAGTTTATGTATACATGATGACTGTTTATAGTGATGTTTGTTCGTATAATATTTCCATGTTATTATTATTAGTATATTGTGGTGGTATATTGGACATTATTTATTTGTTTTACTTCAACGGATGCGAATGTTATAAATTTTGAGTGGCTTATTCTTGTTTCCAACAATTTTGCTAGTTAACTGATTAATTAATGATATATGTCACATAATTTTTATTTTTTTAAATAGCTTAAAATTCCGGGTTGTTTCAATATTATTGTGTCTTATGTTTAAATGTGATGTCATGTCTCATTTATTCTATATTGTGGTTGTGATGAGATGATGATGTATTTGTTGCAATGGTCTATTCTCTCTATGTTGTGATGGTGTTGAGATGAAATGATTATTTTGTTTGAGATGCGATTTTGATATGATGAAATGATCCTTCATGCATATATTGTGATGATACTTGTTCTTTTGTGAGTTTCAATGTGGATGCAAAGATTTAGGGGGAGCTCTCCACTTGCTTTTATGCACACTCTTAGGGGGAGATTTCACTAAACATTTGCACCAAAATCATCTATTATTATCATTCTCTCTTGTGATTTAATCGAATTGTCATCAATCACCAAAAATGGGGAGATTGAAAGTGCATCTAGGTCCCTAATGATTTTGATAATTGATTACAATGCGATTAGAGAGGACTAACATTTTTATTCAAGCAAATGTGAAGGTTGTTAAGTCCTCAACGTGTTGTAATACAATGCATATCCTGTGAATGCGACATCGCGATGCAATGCGGCAATGATCAAATGGTATATTGTATCTTTTTCCTCGCATTGTGTCGTAGGAAAGCCGTACTATTAAGGGGGATGATGCATAGACATACAAGGAGTGATGCGTGTGCTCAAAATCAATTTTTCTTCAAAGCATTTCTCTTTTGGAGCGTTCTGGAAATTTTCAGAAGCTCCGAAAATACACAGAACCGTTTGATAGCTCTCTGGAAATTCTCGGAAGTTCCGAAAATGATTTTCGAAAGTTCCGAAAATACACATAAGCGTTCTGGAAATTTTCGGAAGTTGCGAAAACGTTTTTTGGAAGTTCCGAAAAGTGCGTTGACTTTGATTATTTCTCAGATCTGGAATTTTCGGAAGTTCCGAAAATTGTTTCCGAAGTTCCGAAAATTACTTTTATTGCACTCCAACGGGCAGATTTGTGCTGTGGGTATAAATACCCACCTCCCCTCACTTGTGAGGGCTGCTAGTTTCATTCCAATTATTTGTGCCCTTGGCTTGCTCTCTCTCTAGTTCATTTGAGCCTTGCTTCCTCGATTCATCTCTCCACCCGTGTTTGATTCGGATTTGGTGTGTGTGAGAGTGTGGATTCGAGTTTGTGTGGGTGCTTCTTGTGGTCTTTGTGAAGATTTGTGAGCACTTGCATCATCTCCGGGAATTCTTTGCATCATCTTTTACTCTTGGAGGTTGAGGACTCCTAGACGGCCAGGTGTCACTCCCGAGCCACCGATCTACTTGTGGTTAGCCGGGAGAAGATTATGAAGGCCGGATCTCGCCTCCGCAAGCTAGGGAAGAGATACCTCTTAGTGGTAGGAGGAGTGCTTAGCGTAACCTCTCGAGGAAAGGATTAGCTAAGACCTGGCTCTTAGTGAGCTCCTCAACGGAGAGTAGAATCCCCTCAAGGATTTGAACTCCGGGAACAAGTTTGCAAGCTTCACCTTGGTGATATCTCTTCATCCCTCTCCTCTAACTTTGCTTGCATGTGCCGCTATTGGTCTAGTTGTTGTATGTGCCTTTGATTACATGTGGTAGACTTCTAGATCTAGATATTTCTTTTTGTGTGCGCTGCTCTGTGCATTTTCGGAAGTTCCGAAAATCCTTTCGGAAGTTCCGAAAATTCCCAGCCTAGTTCTGAAAATTACTGCTTCCGCTTTACTTAAGTTTTTAAATTAGCCTATTCACCCCCCCTCCCCTCTAGGCCTAATTGACCTTTTTATGCAGAACACGAACATATTCCATGAAAGGATTCGCGATAAAAAAAAAGACAAAACTATTATGCTTAATGATTTGTGTTCACCGACAGATAGCTGGCATTCAAACTCCCTGCATGTATAGCACTCCATTGGATCGATCTTCCGGCTTTGCCCTAAACGAATACTTAACCCTGACTCCCAAGCATGCAAGTTGTAAAATTGATAGGCTTCTGCCGGCGAATCAAATAGTTGCCCCTCGTGCGGTTGACAGATGATTCCTGTCGACGTTGTAAATGTGTTTCTTATGGCTTGCTCAATTGCTCCAGCGAATTTGGGATTATTCACAAGCAAGTCTGTCCCAGACCATCGTCTCTTCAGCCTGCATTGCTCATATGTTAATGTCTACAATACTCTGTGATAACGACATCACGTCTAATGGCTCTAATGGCAATTAGAATGAGTTCAGTAATAGATACATGTAGATGGATCCCATTAATCAAAATGAGAAACTTTCCCAAGTGTATGGCAATTAGAATGAGTTCAATCATAGATACATGTATATGGACCCAGTGAATCAAAATGAGAAACTTTCCCAAGTGCATGATATCCATTTTTAGGATCATGTGTATGGCACTTAGAATTAGTTCAGCCAATAGTACTAGTAATATGCCCGTGCTAAACGCTACGGTGCAATTATATTTAACTGTATCTTTAAAAAAATTTCACGTTACCAAAAAATATTTTTATATGATCTGTGCATTTGAACTTTAATTAAATCATATAGTACATTTAATATATTTCATGTAAGGTGCAGTACTATGATATTACGTGGGCACAGTAAAACTTTACAAGACTTAATTATATATAATATACCCTATGTACACACTACACAATATAAAAGGCAATATACGCATAAAAATATGTTAGAGAAGTATAGAGTTATTCCATTATTTGTTGCGGGCAGAAAAATATGTTAGAGAAGTGTAGAGTTATTCCATTATTTAAATAAAGCATTTGTTATGTATAAAATACACCCCATAGGTAAAGAATAACTATTCTAATGTTTTGCATTTGCGATACAGTGAAGAAAATCTCGTGCGCCGCTAGGAATGTTGCTTGTGCACTCATTTTGCTCATACATCAGTATATGTAGCAAAAATTGTTTCCTTAGCTCATCAACATCCTGCAAATGCATATGTTTATAAAATAAATGACTGTATTATAAAATAAAATATAATATTCTAAATGCCAATGCTAGTCGGAATGACCTTAAAAGACGGCAAATGAAGTGCTCCATCTTTCCAGGATCGCATGAACAGATGTACGAGACAACCCGACAAATTCCTATGAAATTTGAATAGTTAGGCACCATGCGTTAGACAAAAATAATTTATAAGATCAAACAAGATTATACAAGAAAACTTACGAGTTAGCCACCGGATTTGTGACATACATATGGCCCCACAAGTCGATATCCTCAGTCCACCTAGAGCCAGGACATGCCACACGCATGGCTCCGTTGAAATAGTTGGTAACGTTTAACAATTTTTTGGTATATGTCATAGTTGGGTTGTTCTCATACATTGGATTTAGTGGATTAGGGTCTAGTAGATAAAGTGTTCTGCTTTCTTGGTCCAGTATGACCAAGATATAGCTTCCAACAGCACATACTGGTATAAGAATATGGAAAAAGTCAACCGTCAAGATAATATAAAAAAACACATTCAAATAAGAACAAAGGATAGCTAGCTTACCAATTTGCATTTTGCAACTTCATAATGGATTTTCGACCAGCTACCAACCGACCCCGCAAGATCTATATCCTTATGGAACATTGGACTTATACCAAATCCAGTAGCAGTCTATATGATGTACAATAATTGTTTAAAATATGAGCAAAAGAATCAATATTGGGTAGATTATAAAAACTTACCCAAAATTGTAAGTCCAGGCAATGCTTTGTTATTGCTTAGCTGGTTTTGTGAAGCGACCGGATGTTTTCATACATGAACTTGCGTATGGCCATGTTGAAGCAATCACGGTCAAGTGGTCCATCCTTTAGTACTGATTGAAGTGTTTTGAGACTTAATTTTATGGTGTGCGGCCATGAACTTTGCACCCATATATTCCTGTCAATCAATAAAAAAATAAGTTAGTGCATGTTTGAACTATAGGGTAGATACATTATATAGAAGTGGCTTACTCCAAGGTTTCGGCACAATTTATTTGTTGTATGTACTGGAAAAGGCCGCCTATCAACTCCTGTAAACTCATCGTAGAAATGTGGACCCCCGTATTTATAACAGGAATCAATCGTGTAAACGGTACCATTTCCCTGGATCAAGTAGTCTGCTACACACGAGTTCATAGCTGAAATACCAAATGCACATATACGAGAGTCTAGTGCGAATTATTACATCATAAGCCCGTAGGCATAGTCTTAGATCATCTAACCGAGCGGTCCGGAATACATTCCAAAAGCAGAAGTAGATAAGGCAGCGGACTTAAGGCAGCGGCACGCCTTTGCCACAGGCAACGACCGTAACTAAGACCTACTAAGCGCCGTCGTCTTCATCACCCTCCTGGTAGTACGCGTAGGGATCCTCCGAAGCTTCATCTCCGGCCTCTGATTAGGTTTATATATTGCAAGGCTGAGTACCAACCGTACTCCGCAAGCCACCACAGCAACAATGCACATGATAGGGGTATTTCAAAGGATGGCTATGGTTCTTTTGCGCAAAGCAAGTTTTGTAATTCTTTTCATAAGCCTAAGACCTAGCACTGACTGATCAAATTTTAGTACCAGTGTTCACATTTGAATAACGACGGTTCTGTCCACCATCCATTGTGATCTCAAGGATAAATTCCCGCCATTGAGTCGTCATGGTTTTCTGAGGACGTCCACCTTCCCGCCTCTCAGGAAGTGGCTCCAACAACATAAAAATCATCATGCAATAACCCATCCCATACAAGTTAAGAATTCAGAGTCTAGCCAAGTGTAATACACGTCCTGGTGCTCAATAACCGCGAGCACGGCTATTCGAATAGATTTAGTTTACTCACACTGCAGTGGATGTATAATTTACCCGCACTCCGTGACTGCCCAACACATGAGCCTCGTCCCAACACATGAGACGCGTCACGGCAAAGCTTTTCGATAACCTCGCATTGGCAGTACCCGCTCCATGAACTTTAGCCCTCATGCACTCTAGGCGTCATACATTTCTAGCAGTGAGAGGAGTTCTGGCGCTCCCGGGAAAAAGAAGTCTCACACATATTAAATTATGATTCAGGTTAAGTTCTCTCTCTCACGCACTCATGGCAGTCCTACCCATGGCGACACCGATGTAGGGCACGCCTCTCGGCCCTACCTCAACGGCTGTCCCACGGTAGCGCACCTGCGTCACTCAGGGGTGAACCATCTATGTAGGGATACTGCCTCCGCTCGGTTATTTAATCCGCTAGGTCTATACCCATACGAGAAGTGCGGTTGTACGGGGGTCGTTTCATGCTTAACTTCATGGCTCGGTTCTTAATTGACCGGGGACGGTACTAGCCTTTCCCATATACCACCCAAATCCATCGTCCGCCCCAGTCTAAAACAAGTGTTTAATTTCATTCCTACTTTCACAAATCATGTCATCATCATCATGGCAATGTGGCGCTCATGTCTCCACATGCCGCATCTCAATTACCTTCCCAAAGGTAATTGCCCAAGCATATAGCATTTGATAAAATATGAGCGTGCATGAATCTAGTGTAGCATTTCTAAGTATGTGTCATAATTGACTAAGGACTCATACGTAATTATGGTTACAAGGATTTAAAGGTAAACAATAATCAAGACATGGCATAATCACAAGTAGGATGTTCATCATTGCATGCAATCTTATTTGTAAATAAAATAATTTCGCAATTGGGATCAACATGTTCAAAGAATGGTGATGACTTGCCTTGCTCGAAGTCCTGCGGGTCTTGACCCTCGCTCGGATCCGCAACTCCCTCGGGCTCTAAAATTACGTGCGAAGAAATGATTTGAATTCAATTAGAATTCAAATAAAATCCAAATGACTCACATAAAAGTCGAACGCGAATCGATCTTTCTAAATTGACTACAAAGTTTGCGGAACCACTTTATTCGAATTGTTGGGTCATTTAACCTAAGTCATTTTGGGATTTGGAAGTACATTCCTAGGAATTCGACATAATTATTTACTTCTTAAATAAATCTAAATTCCTACCGCGAATCGACCTCTTACAGAGATTACCAAAAATAATTATAATCACATTAACATTTTACAATTCTAGGCTATAATTAACCTATAATTAAATTCTAATTATTCTAAATTTTCTAAACTTCTTAATCTCCCTCAAATTCCTATTTTATTCCCCCCCCCCTTTCTTTTTCTTTTCCTTTCTTTCCTTTTCTTCCTTTTTCTCTCTTTTTCTTTCTCTCCCTCTTTTCTTTCTTTTTCTTTCTTTTTTTTCTCCCCCCCGGTTTCTTTCTTCCTCCCTCTCTCTCTCGGCTCTTGCTCCCCGGTGACAACGGCGGCAGAACGAGGGGAGGGCGGCGGCGACGGCGGCGCACGGCGCGGTGCGGCGGCGCGGCGGCACAACGGCGGCGCGGTGGAGAGGGTAGAGGAGAGGAGGAGGGAATGGGGTGGGGAGAGTGGAGAATGGTGGGGCTTTTATAGGGGAGAGAGGGGGAAAAAGGGGAGAGGGAAGAGAGGGGGGGCCGGTTAAATGGCGATGCGACGGCGGCGCGGCGGCGCGGGGCGCGAGGCGGCGAGGGGATGGGCGACGCGACGGCGGCACGCGCGGCACGGCAGCGGGATGGCGACGGCGATGGCGCGGCAGCGGCGGCGCGTGGCTCGGAGCGACGACGGGACGCGACGGCGACGGCGTGCAGCGGCACGGGGCGCGAGACAACGCAACGGCGACGGCGACAGCAACGGCGACAGCGCATGGCGACGCGCGACAGGCGGCAGCGGCGACGCAACGGCGGGCGGCGCGGCGTGGGGTGCGAGGCGATGGGACGGCGGCGCGGCAACGCGACGGACGCGACGGCGACGGGTGACGATGGCGACGGCACGCGGCGCAGTAGAGGCGACAGGGCGCGACGGACGTGACGGCGACGGTGGCGCGGGGCTCGGGGCGGCCAGGCGCACGCGGCAGAGAAGGGGGTAGGGCTAGGGACCTCGTCGAGCACCTAGAGTGCAATGAACAGAGTATTTTCCTATTTATCCCAAGTTTAGCCTATTTCCTATATAAATTCTATTCTATAAATCCTAATTTTTGCATAAATGAGGTTTACTCAATATTTATGTTATTCCAACCAATGGATTCACCCAAGATTAATATTACCCATATTTTATTTATATAATTTATTTGAATTTTTAATTGGGCTAATTTTTTATTCCGTCGCACTAGAATTCAATTGTTACTAATATGGTTGCGATAATATTTTATTTATTTCCAACCTCACCTTTTATTCCCAATTATATTTCAATTATTTATTTTTCTCATTTAATTTTTAGGTTTTCTTCCTAATCAATTAATCCTTATTCGCGATCTATGAACTTCGAAACCAAATTCCAATGAAATGGGCGAATAAAATCGGCATGATGCAATTTATTTAAAAAGTTTTTGAAGGCCCATATTTTTAGAGTTTTGATTTTTGTTGGTCGAATTTTCAGGGTGTTACAAACCGACCACCTTAAATAAATCTCGTCTCGAGATTTCTTACCGGTCTTCGAATAGGTGTGGGTATTCTGTCTTCAAGAATTCTTCGCTTTCCCAAGTGGCTTCATCCTCAGTGTGATTACTCCATTGTACCTTGTACATATGCCACACTTTGGTCCTAGTCCTCTTTTCTACTTCATCCAATATCCGAACTAGGTGTTCTGGATATGTGAGATCATTGCCAATGTGAATTTCTTCCAACGGAGCTTGCTCCTCCGGCACTCGTAAGCATTTCTTTAATTGAGACACATGGAAGACTGGGTGTACATCCGCGATATTCTCTGGTAGCTGTAACTGATATGCAACTTCTCCTCGTCTAGCCGTGATTTGAAAAGGTCCCACATATCTTGGTGCTAGTTTCCCTTTGACCTTAAACCTTTTCGTTCCCCTCATCGGAGAAACCTTCAGATAAGCGTAATCTCCTTCCTTAAATTCCAGGTTTCTTCTTCGGGTGTTGGTGTAACTCTTCTGTTGTGATTGTGTCACTTTTAGACGGTCACGGATCAGGCGAACCTTTTCTTCGGCCTCTTTGATAATGTCAGGCCCAAATACCGTCCGTTCTCCAGTCTCGGACCACATCAGTGGAGTACGACATCGTCGACCAAACAATGCCTCATTGGGTGACATCTTTAGGCTTGCTTGAAAACTGTTGTTGTAGGAGAATTCGACGTAGGGCAAACATTTCTCCCAGTCTTTGCTAAAATCCAATGCACAAGCTCTCAACATGTCCTCTAAGACCTGGTTTGTTCTCTCTGTCTGGCCATCTGTCAGTGGATGATAAGCTGTGCTAAAAGCAAGGTAACTTCCTAAGGCTTCATGTACTTTCTCTCAGAAATGCGAGGTAAACTGTGTGCCTCGATCGGATATAATTCTCTTAGGCACACCATGAAGACATACTATCCTGGTCATGTACAACTCGGCGAGTTTGGCACCGCTATAGTTTGTCTTGACGGGGATAAATCTTGCCGTCTTGGTGAGTCGATCCACAATCACCCAGATGGAATCATACCCTGTTGCGGTCTTGGGCAACCCAACTATAAAATCCATACCTATTTCATCCCATTTCCATTCGGGAATCCTAAGGGGTTGCAACAAACCTGCCGGTCTCTGGTGCTCAGCCTTCGCCTTCTGGCATACGTCACAGAGCGCTACGTATTCTGCCACATCTCTCTTCATGTTGGGCCACCAGTATCCTTCCTTCAGATCCTGGTACATTTTAGTACTTCCGGGGTGCAATGAATATGCCGATTCGTGAGCTTCCTTTAGGATTAATCCTCTCAGTCCACCCTGTTCGGGTACATAGATCCTCTTTTTATACCAAAGGACATCTTTTTCATCGGTCAAAAATTCCTTTGCAAACCCTGCAGCTAGGCGTTCCTTCACCTCTTGGATTTCTTCGTTGTCCTTCTGGGCTTCTTCTATTTGGGTTCTCAAAAGAGGTTGAATGTCCAGGGTGTTTATCTGTCCACGGGGTACTATATGTAGATTTAGCTGGGCGATTTCCTCCTTAAGCTCAGGAGCCATCCCTTCCATTCTCAGATGATTGCAATGGCTCTTATGACTCAAA